CATAGTCTGTTAGATCTTGGACAAAATGTAATATACATCATGGTGAAAGTCTGAATTATTTTAAGTTATGTGTTGAAACAAACTGAGCTTATGATCAAAAGCAATTTTATTACTAATGGATAAAGAGCCATTTTGGTGAATGTTTTACGAAAAATTGAAAATATGGCACTAATTATTTGACTTGGGTATAAGTGTAAACAATGTAGTAGTTATGGAATTACTTGCTACAAAATCTGATTTCAGAGAATGCAAAATGTTTTGTTGGTTAAGATATTCAATAAACTTGACATACAATCATTTCCAATTATTCTGATGGAATATTAAGCAAGGAAATTGGTTTATAAATTGCCAGGAAAAAATTCCCCACACTTAATGAACAGGAAAAATTCATTTCTGCTTCCAAATATGAAAAGTATAATGAAGTGCTTCATCAAATACTCAAAATATGAATTAGTGGTTTCCAAATGTCATCTGCAGCTAATTATAACGATTGTAGTTTTAATTCCATTCAAGCATTTTGTTTTTATTTAAATCCAGGGTAATAGCATCCAATCTATCTCTGTATCTTAGGCTTCCAGGATTTGAAATGTTGATATTCCACAAAGTACAGTCTCCAAAAGGAAAAGCTCACAGCAAGGAAAGCCTGACAAGCTGCCACTGGGATGTGCGTCTTAGCAGCATCAACATTCAAATTTAGAGGGAATGACATATAAAATGGAAATCTACATCCATGACTAGCTTGAGCTACTCAGGACTAACCTGGTGGCTCACTGCTTTCCAGACTTGCCCGTCTGTACTTCAAATGTTCAGAGAATGAAAAAGAGTGGTGTGGGGCAGCTGAAAACAAACTCATTTGTACAGGACAAGTTCAAATAATTAAATACTTCCAAATTCTCATGATAAACAGAAGAGACTACGTGATCCAGATTAAGGAAAAGATCATCTGTAGACTTTACAAAATGATTAGTAAATAACTTCATCATTTGCTCAGGATCATTTACAAACTCATTACCCAGATCCACGGATAATATCTTTGTTTTGGGCACAGCTCCAAAAAGGTCATTAACTACAATAGGAAATTGTTGAGGAGAAAGAAGATGATATCCAAAATACATTATAATACTCAACTTTTTTTTTAAATGAACACTTTGAATTGAGTCCAGCAACTTCCTCAACTTGATGTGTAAACTGCACGAATTTAGATACCCTAATGCTCAAACAACAGTAAATGGGTATAGGACTAAGGGAGTGTAATTTACACCACCTCTACATTTGCCCATCCCCTCTGCATTTGGCCACAGTGTGATATTGGTTCATGACACTTTATGACAGTGCGGTGTCATAGCAGGTTTTCCGTCTACCAGTATTTTGTGGTGCTCTATGACTATGTGATGAAAAAGTGGGTCTCTAAATCATCTATTGAACTAGAACAAAAACAAAATCTCTAAAATGAAATATTTCTGTTAAATCAGATAGTAGATAATGTTTTCACCCCTCAGCTCATAGAGAGCCAAGAAGCGAGGACAGTCAACCTAGGTACCTGCACTTTCCTAAAATAAAATAAAAGCATGTTTGAGGAGATATTTTCTGAAAACATAAACAGTTTTATATGGAGATTTATAAGGAAGTTTTACAAGTTTTATAAGGAAACAGTTGTAGTCATGTTTAGCAAATTGCACAATACCCTTAAACAAGACTCAGAAGCTACAAAGTCAGACAGCTCAGTAACTGCCTAGAACATTCTGGGCATGGTAATGTACCCTTATTACTGCATACTGTGTTAACTCCTGGTTCAATAGCTGGATGGTACAGGGTTCCATAATCCCCAGACAACGTGAAAGGGAAATACAACCTGAGGTCCGAGATGCTACTCTAGATGGTTGTGCCATACCCCCATTTCTCATTATTGTCAGATGAAGATGAGAGAAATGCAAGATGCTGGGCACAGCATCACTTTTGTGGGGGATATTGTCACCCCACCAACAGCCAGCATTTCTACAGTATGTTATCAGAGTGTTTTAGTCTGCTACAGACGCCAATCTTTCTAATCAAACAGTTTTTGATGGAAGGGATCTTTTTATTAGAATATATGCACTTCTATATCAATAATCCTTGCAGCCAAGGAAGCCAGAGTTAAGTCTCCCTGAAACAAATTTTAAAATACACTATGTCCACTAGAGTCCCCGTGTCTCCATGGAACATCCACAAGTCCAAACAGTTGTCTTTTAATGGGATTCATAAATGTTAGAGTTAACAAGGACTGTGGTAATAACTTTCCACAATCCAGGAGTCTGATTAGGAGTTGGGAGAGTGTTCTGTGGGGAAGAAAAAGGAAGTTCTTAGTTCAAGCAGTCTGAACCATAAAAGGATTTATGTCAGAGGAAAGAGTTGAGACTTGGGGCAGTTCTTATCTTTTCTGAACTTCTTTACTCATCACTAATAGAGATTTTAAAAGCCATTGCTATTTAAATATTAGCAAAAGATCAGCCGGGATTAATATATTTAATTAAAAAGAGTATACAATTCAGAGGATCAAGGAAGGATATACACTTAAAAAACATGAAGTACCACAATGGATACAAGTTTTAATAAATAAATGTATATTTTTAAACCACAGGAAAATACACAACAGATTCAAACCCTAATGGATCAGTCATAAATGTCTAAAAGCATAGTCCATATGTCTGCAAATTCTCTAGTTTTTCTTCTTCTCCAGTTATTTTCCAGCCACATCAGCTAACTCGTTGCAATACTCAGCAACATTTTGTTTGTTTGTGTGCTGTCCTTTAGTTTCTTAAGCTCTTGGCAATTCCACATGCTATCAACAAAAAGCTGCTTTTGAGGTTTCCTTCCTGAAAAACGAGCCTCCAGGTTCTTCACTAATATCATTATTTTAAAGCAGTATTAATTATTTTTACATTGGCCAAGCCACTCAACTTTAATTCAGATGTAGTTTTTCTGTGGCGAATATAAACCTCTTCAGTAATGGCTCTATCCAAAGCCCATCAAAGTCTTTGGAAAAATTCCCATTTGGAATCAGCTTTGATGGGCTTTGGATCAGGCTCTAAATAGTTATTAATACTGGCAATTGAATACATAACAATTCAGATTCCACAAAATCAAAAATTAGTGGTTGACTCAGGATCCAATTTAAGTTAAACATCTGATCAAGTGTTGTGCTGGTATGTAAATACTGTCAATGCTGTTGCCTTTGCAGATTAAAATTCTTGTTAAGGCCCTAGTTCAGCAAAGCACTTAAGCATGTGCTCAAGGCTTTGCTGAATAGGACTGGATTTAAGTGCTTTGCCCATCACGCATATGTAGGAAAAAAAAACCAATAAATTAGTGTAATATAAATAAATTGCAATCTCTTTGATACCCAACACCTGACCCTAAATTAAAAGGCAATTACTGGGCTAACTAAACCCAGTTTAAGTGGTATGCAAATATTTTTGGCAATACTGCAGAAAGGGAGAATAAGTACCTTTTCTGAGCCAGCAGAAGGAGGGATCAGTTGGAACCAATTATAGTCAGGACACTGTTTAAAATAATTATAATTTCTAATGTTTTAAGAAAAATCTTCTTATTAAAAATTATTTGGGGGATCCAATCTTCCCCTCTTTAGCCAGACAAAACTCCAATTGATGTAATGGCAGTTTTGCCAGAGTATTTGAGCTAAAGAAATAAAAGATGGCTTGCCTTTAATTCTCTAATTCTGCAAAGAGTTACTTAACTTTAGGCACTGTGAGTAATCCATTTAATTTTAATAGGGTTACTCACAGTGGCAGTGGACTATGCGGACTACAGGGGGTGTGAATTGCAAAAGCCTTGCTACTTAACTTCCCCAGGTGGATGCTGCTGGTGCAAACTAAAAGGTACCTGTCTTATTAACACAGTTCTGTTTGAAAGAGGAGTATCAGAGGGGTAGCCGTGTTAGTCTGAGTCTGTAAAAAGCAACAGAGGGTTCTGTGGCACCTTTAAGACTAACAGAAGTATTGGGAGCATAAGCTTTCGTGGGTATCTGAAGAAGTGAGGTTCTTACCCACGAAAGCTTATGC